CCATGCCCCGTTTGTTGTCTTGACACAGACTCTCTATGTAGCCCTGGCTGTGCGAGAAATTGATATGCTGCAGACCAGGCTAGTCTTGAATTCATAGAGATCCTCCAGCTGGCCCTAAAGGTATGAGCCACCATACCCAGCCAAAAAACTTTCTGAAAGAAAGGGGAAGATTATGGCTCCTTGGGAAATGTGTACGCTGTCCAGCCTGGCAAACTCAGTTCAATCACTGGGATCCACATGGTGGAGCATTAACTCTTGAAAACTGTCCTTTGACCTCCAAATGTGCGCCGTGGCTCATAAGTGTGTGTATATACTCAATAAATTAGTGTAATATGAACAAAAACTTAAAGGAGGAAGGCTGGAGAGATGCTCAGTGGTTAAGACACTTGCTCTTGCAGAGGACCCAGGTTTGGTTCCCAGTGTCCACACGGTAGCTCACAGCCACCCATAGCATCTATCCCAGGAGATCTGAGAGCATCGTCACTCATCCATATAAAATAAATGAATCAAAAAAGGATCTTTTAAGAGAAGGGAGAGGATGAATAAGAAGATTTCCATTAGTTAAAATAACACATTCTAATAGGTTTTGTTTGTTTTATTGCCTGGATTGCAGGCAGGAGGATGATTTAGGGCTAAGAAAACCACTTCCCAGTTGGGTGGTGGTGGTGCAAACCTTTGATCCGGTACTCAGGTGGGGCTGGGGCAGGTGGATCTGTGAGTTCCAGGCCAGCCTGGTCTACAGAGCTAGTTCTAGGACCACCAAGGCTATATCAAGAAACCCTGCCTCAAAAATCCAAACCAACAAACAAAAACATACAAAAGGAAGAAAACCACTTCCCCTCTGAAGCCGAATATGGTCTGATAGCTAGCTATTCTACACAATATTAACAAAGAGAGGGGCAGGCCAGACAACACTCTCACCCCTACCTCCTTCACCCAGAGAAAATGAGGACTCTGATAAAGGACAAGCAGCCACTTCGGCTTTAGCCTCATGTCTGAGATGTGTACCTTTGCTCCTAGCCCAGCCTGAGATCTAGCCCCACCCCGAAGAAAGAGTTCTTCCTACTGGAAGTGCAAGATGAATCAGTCACTCGGATTAGGAGCCCATAAAAACAAAACAAAACAAAAACAGGCCTCCTTTCTCTCGCTTTCCCTTACTTTTTTGCTTTTGTTGTTTTGTTTGTTATTTGTTTTCAAGACAAGGTCTCACTATGTAGCTTTTGCTGTCCTGAATTCTCTAGGTAGACCAGGCTGGCCTCAGACTCAGAGATTACCAAGCACTGGGATTAAAGGCATGCATCCTTTCTTTCTGTTTTTGTTTATTTGTTTTACACAGCCCAGTCTGGCCTGGAATTTGTTCTGTAATCCAGGCTAGTCCCTAATTTGGGATCTTTCCACCTCAACCTCAGCTACCAAGCCCAGTTATGTAGATTTCTTTAAAGTGGAACATGCTACTGTCATTGTGGCAGAGGCTGCAGAAAAGTTCTCTGGTGTCACATACTAAAAATATGGTATTGCAGGAGAACTGGCTGCATTATCAGCTGTCTCTGGCCTGTGCAAAAGCCAAGCATTCACAACTCCCACAGAAGTCAATAGTGTGTCTGTCTGAATTTGGTCTCTCCTGTTTTACACAGGCAGATGTGAGGGTGACCCGGCTGAGACATCCGCCGTTCCGTTCATCACAAGAGCTAATTCTGCTGTTCCACCCTGCCAGGCCAGTGTCCAACTTCCTCCTTCTCCACCCCTTATACATCCCTCCTGAAGATGCACTGGCCCTTGAAGAGGACAACCCTCTCTATCAGAAGACTGCCCTTTGGTCAAGGGTATACACGTGGCTGTCCTCCTCTGCTTGACCCTTCAAACAAGCTCTTGTTTGTTTGACACTGGGTCTCTCTGTGTAGCCCTTAATGTCCTGGAATTTGCTATGTAGACCAGGCTGGGATTAGGCTCTCTCTCTCTAAGAAACATTAACAGGAGGCTGGAGATAGCTCAGCAGCTTCTAGCACTCACAAGGAGTGGTCCACAACAGCTTGTAATTCCAGCTCCAGTGTATTTAGTAATACCTTCTTCTGCAGATAACTCAAAGATATACACACACATACACATAGATTTCTTCTTAAAAAAGAAATTAACAGTTTCTGGGGGAAATGGATGGAAAGGAAAGAAAAAAGGCCTTCAAAAGTAGGTCTTTAAACAAACAACAAATGCTCTCAGGACTGGAGAGATGGCTTAGTGGTTAAGAGAACTGGCTCTTCTTCCAGAGGTCCTGAGTTCAATTCCCAGCATCCACATGGAGGCTCACACCATTTGTAATGGGTTCTGATGCCCTCTTGCATTTGGAAGGCTGAGACAAATTTAGACCAAGAATCCCAGAGTAGCCTAAGCTATAGAACAAGATTCTATCTCAAGAAACAAGAGCCAGCAATGAGGGGAACAAATGAGAACAAAGTTTAACTGTGTGTGTGTGTGTGTGTGTGTGTGTGTGTGTGTAAAAATGCCATGATGGAAACCCCATTGTTTTTTGGAAAGAGAGGGAGACAGAAAGAAGGGGAGAGAGAAAGGGGATGAGATGGCTCAGTAGATGCAGGCATCTGTCACCAAGCATTAACAACTGAAATTGATCCCGGGGACCTACATGGAGAAAAGAGAACAGACTCCCCAGTGTTTCCTCAGATCTCCACATGTGTTCATTGCATGGGTGAGGCCCCCAAAACATCAATATAAATAAAATTTAACAAATTTTTTAGGGGTTAGAGAAATGGCTCAGTGCTTAAGAACTCATACCGATCTTACAAAGGACTCAGCACCCACACAGATGACAAACACACACAATCACCTGTATCTCCAGTCCCAGGGAATCCAATGTCCTCTCCTGGAATCCATGGGCACTGCACTTAAGGGAGCGCTCATGTGGGCGCTTACACACACACACACACACACACACACACACACACACACACACACACCAAAAAGAGAAAAAAATGTTTTTTTTGTTTTTGTAGACAGGGTTTCTCTGTAGCTTTGGAGCCTTACCTGGAACTAGCTCTGTAGACCAGGCTGGCCTTGAACTCACAGAGTTCCACCTGACTCTGCCTCCCGAATGCTGGGAGTGTGCCACCACTGCCCAACTAGAAAAAAAAAAAAATTTTTAAAGGGCCTGTCATTTAAAGGTGGTACATGCCTTTAATCCCAGCACTCTGAGGTAGATGCAAGTAGTCTCTGAGTTTAAGACTAGTCTGGTCTACTTAGTACCAAGCTAACCAGGGCTACATAGTAAGACTCTGTCTCATATAAATAAAATTAAACAAATAAAGGATAGCCAAACTGGGCACCACAGTAGACTCCTGTAATCCCAACACTTGGGAAGTACAAGCAAGGGGACTGGAAGTTCTAGGTCAACCTTGGCTATATTGGGACTTCAAGGCCAGCCTGGGCTACATGAGGACCATCTCAAACACAAGCACATTATAATGTAAAACAAGCCGAGGGTTGGGGGAGGCACCACCGCCACCTCACACCTTTAGTCCCTAAGGTGAGTGGATCTCTGTGAGTTCAAGGTCAGCCTGGGCTACAGAATGAGTTCCAGGACAGGCTCCAAAGCTACAGAGAAACCCTGTCTCCAGAAAAAAAAAAAGTAAAACAAATCGCAGACCTGAGACCAAGTGGGATGGCACACATCTCTTGCCTAACACCAGGAGGATCCCACATACACAAAAAGTAACCAATGAGAATTGGTTCCAATTTGCCTTATGCATTAAAACAATTTTCCCCAAATATGGTGGGCTTTTTCTCCCCCTCTAGAGCATTTTGAAGAGGGCTGAGTCTTACCACACCATGGAGCCCAGGCTTCCTCAGACCTCTGTATGTAGCCCAGGCTACACTTAACACACCTTTTTCCTGGACCTACTGAGGACTGAGATTACAGCTATTCAGCCTGGTCAAATGTTTTCAAGAGGAAATTTTAGTGTAGCGAGCATCAAATTTAAAATCACCCCAAAATCAAATAGAAAATAATCATTTATACCAGCAGTTGAGTCTACAGCGAATTAGGTGACTCTCAGCGTTTGTCTAAGCAAGAATCTATTGCTCAGAGGAATTTTAAGTTTTGTTCTATTTTTGTGGGTTTTTTTTTTTTTTTCCCCCAGCCCAAAGCTGGCCTGAACCGGTGAACCTTCGGCCTCCTGCACCCAAGTGCTGGAACTAGAGGCATGTGGCTACCACACCCAGCTAAGTTATTTCAAAGGAAGACAGCCATCTGTCTAGGTTTCTACAGGGGCAGAGAAACTCACAGTAGGGAGCCAGGTGACTTGGAGCCTCTAATGGGAATAAATCCAAAGCTGCCACGGCCTGTCAGCGCGGCTGGGTGAGTCCAGCTGGCTCAGGAAGCACCAAAAATAAGCTACAAAGCATTCAGGGGCCGTGCTTATGGTTTAGATTCCAAACACACTTTGTGTTTATCCCTTAGCAAGGAGCGGGTATTTTTTACGTATTTGTGTGTAAAGAAGACTAAAGGAGAACCCTGGAGGCAAAGGAATGTTAAGTTGTGGGTCAACATATATGCCTGATGCTTAAAAACAGATTTAAAGTAAAATATTATGAGCGCCTCTCTCTAGGAGGAGAAGGCAAACCGCCATTCAGGGGCAATGAAGCCGTGCACCCAGGTACCCTCCACATCCCCGCCGTTCACCTGGGCGCCAGGGGGTGAAGCCCGGCTTGCCGGTGGGAAACCGAGAGGGGCGGGGAGAGACGGACGGACACACCTCGCCGGGCGAGGCTGGCGGCCGCCTCACCGGTCCAGCCGAGGGACCCGACTCCGGCAACCGAAAGGAGACTCACTTCTCCGGCTCTCCCGCCCATGGGCGACCGTTTGGTCCCCGGCTCCCCCGCGTCCACCTCTGCGATCCCTCCACACCGACCGTCAGGGCTCCCCGGAGCCCACACCTTCGTCCTTCCCGGACCCCACGCTGCATTCCTTGCGGTCACTGGTTGGGACCCGTTACCTGCAGAGCGGCTCGACAATCCTGCAGGTAGTCCTCCATGGTGAAGCCCGAGGTGTGCCGTCGCCCCTCGGCGAGGAGAGGTAACCCGGCCGAATGCACCCCGCCCCAGACTCAGGGTCTAGAGCACAGAGTCAGGGGGCGGGACTCGAACCCGCCATACAAGGGTTCGGCCTCCGAACCCCAGGAGGAAGTACGTAATTCGGCACTCCGGCATTACCCTGCCCCCAGCGGCGGAGGCTGAGTTCTGAGCCCAGAGACTCATGGGAGGTTGAGGAGGAGCAGGACGGCGTACCTTCTGGGAAATGTAGTCCGGAAGTTCCTAAGTGTCCCCAAGTGAGCAGCCGTTCTCTGAGGGCTTTGACAAACAAGTTGTGTGTGTGTCAAAATAACTCGCCTTTATGGCATCTGAACTACTTGCTCTTTCAGATAGATCTAGGTGTAGTATCTTTCCATATATTACACCAACGGTCTGTTTGAGATGAATGTAAATTAATCTCTTTTCTTATACAAGGTCTTGCTATGTAGCCCAAGCTAGTCTTCTCAGCTTCCTGAATGCTGTATTCACAAGCCTCTTGGTCGGGACTTTAAATCACAACATATCTCTATATCGTATTAAAAGAGTTTCTCATGTTAGGTGTTTTCTTTTAATTCTCCCCCTTTACCAAACTAACCTAACTGTGATCAGTGATGTGTTTGTTCATGCTATGAGAACATTAATGTTTGACCCGTCTTCTTAAAACCTACAGTCGTGCCGGTTCTTCCTACCTTCCTAACTTTGTAGCCTCTTTCCCATTACAGCCTGGACAAACATCTCCTCAAGCCATTCTTGTACTGTTGCAACCCCGACCTTGCTTCCTCTGTTGCAACTGTTCGTTCAGCTTTCAGAGTTGCTCGAAGTCTCATCCTGTGGCAGCCACGTCAACAGAGGAGCCTTCAGAATGTAAGGCTAGGTTCCAACACCCCTCCTTAACTGCCACTTTTGTGCCCCAGCGCAGACTACTGGTGGGAGTGTCCCTTCATCGGAACATGTTCTCTCATTTTTTAATCTTATCCCCAGATTTTCTTGCTCCTCAGGGCAGTGAGAGGGGACGAGGGGGTGTCTTCTTCACCCTGGATGTATTAACCAGGTACACAGCTCAAACAGGGGGGGGGGGGGGGGGGGGGGGGGAAGAAGAGGAGAGAGAGAGACAGAGACAGAGAGAGACAGATACAGAGAGACAGAGAGAAAGGGAAAAGACTTAAAAGGAGTCTTCTAGGGTCCGGGGAGCTCCAGGAAAACAGAAGCGGTTTTTCCCCCCCTTTCATATTAAACGATTAAATATGCAAACACTGTGCTCTTTCTCCTGCTTCCCTGGCTCCGAAGCAGAGGACTGCTGCGGGCATCCAGGGAGGTGGCAGCGGCCGCGGCCGTCCCGGTCCCGCCCGGCTCCTCCCGGCTCTTCCCGGCCGCCTCCTGCTTTTCCCGGTTCTCACCAGAGAGGCACACGCGCTCCGTCCGTGCCTTCCCGCGGCAGGAGGAGGGAGGGAGGGAGGTAGGGAGGGAGGGAGGGAGGGAGATAAAGGGTCTGTTGTTGTCCGCTCTCCCTTTGCGCCGCTGGCCGGGCAGCTGCTGACCGGCTCAGGCAGCCCTGATGGAAATCCTCCGCGGCTGAGCAGGCCCCCTCCTCCTCCAGGGACCCGGTCCTCGGCTCATTCGTCTTTGTCCCGACGGAGGGGAGAGAGAGAGGGAAAGAAGGAAAACCACAAACTTCCTTTGAAGACCAGTTTGTAGGCAGGGCCTGGAGCGCGTGCCGGAGACTCGGTCGCTCGGGAACCCTGAAGACGCCGGGAGGCCTGGGAGCGCCGGGGCCGCGCCCCCACCCACCACGCGCCGCCCGCGCTCGCCCTCGCCCTCGCCCTCGGCCTCGGCCGGCGTCCCCGGTGCTGGGCGTGAGTCCGGAAGTGGCCACGACCCAGGCTGGACGCCGCGCGAGTAAACCCGTGTCGAGCTCCGGGGCTGACAGCTGGGAGGCAGCTGGTGCAGGCGGCGCCCCTCGACGATGCCCCCTCCTCGCCCACTCCCGGGACCGCATCCATCTCTTTAAGGTAAAAACTTTGTTTTCAAACTCTCTTCTTCACCTCCCCTCGCAGCTCTCCTTTCCCTCTCCGGCTGGGGCCAGTTCACCCGACGTCCCGTCTGTGGTCTCTACGTCTCGGTCGCTTATAGGATGCTTGCAAGGCACTGGCAGCAGGGAGAGCAACGCGCGTTCCCCCATTATAAACAAACTCTCTCCTCCTTGGGAGCAAGAGTTGCAGTGTTTGAGTTGTCCTAGAGGAAATCTCAAAGCATTGTTGCCATGAGGGTTTGCCTTCAGCTGAGGAGATTGGGTAAGACCAGAAAAGGGCTTCAGGGGAGAAGGGCCCAGAGAGTGGGTGATGTCTTCTTGAAGCTAAGTGGGTACCTATTTAACATGCTGCTTCCAACGTGTAATAGTTTCTGCTGCTGACTAGAAAGGGGCTTGGTGTTTTAACTCCCTCACCTGCCCCCCATAGGTACTTCCAGTTAGAGAGGGAGTGTATGGTTTGGACTGAAGAGAGAGGAGGGACAAGGCTGAAACCCGCGTTTGCTTGAGTACCCTCCGCTCATACGTTCCCACCTCTGGGCCTTGCAAGGTGGAGTCCTCCCTTGCATTCCCTCCCTGCCCCTGCCCACTTTCTCTGATACCCTACTTCCTCCAGTGGTTTCTTGTAGCTCCTTTCTTTGGGCAGCTAGCTTTCCCAACCCCCACTTAATTATTGATCATTTCTAACCTTGGGCAGAAAATGAGCTATGTTTCTTCTCTTTAGGCTTTTTAAAATTTCCCAGGCGAGGCCTCTGTTTCAAGGCTCACCCCAAGTGCCATGGGAGGGGAACAAAAATGAGGCCTGCAGATAACTTTTGCTAGTGTGATTCTAAATTAACAAAATATAAATTACTGCGGCTAACACAAATTATATTTGAATCAGGAGAATGATCTATTTGGGTGATGAAACTTCCATTGTTTTCAGTAACTTTGATGTTTCCCAATAGCACAGGAGACCTTGAACTAGAGCCCTCCTGCCTAAATCTCCTGAAGTAGCAGGGATTGGCAAACCTGAGACATCATGCCCAGCTAATGTCACTCCTGTCCCCTAGGCCTTCTCCTAGCCCAAGGTCCCAAGCTTTATAAGAAGAAACAGGTAGGGAAGAAGCTGGACAAACCACAGGGTTCAGGTCAGGCACGCACACGCCACTTAAAATCCCTTCACTCAGGAAACCGAGGCTATCCTGGGCAACCAGAACCCATCAGTCTCAACCTGGGATTAAAGGTGTGTGCAACCACGCACAATGACACCTATTTCAAAAGTCACTTAAAAGAAAAAAAAGACAAGATTCCTAATTGATTTAATTGCTCCCTGTTTTTCTTTTCTTTAGTTGGGGAACTGGGGATGGAACCCAGGGCCTTGTATATATTAAGCATGTGACCTTCTGCTAGGCTATACCCCCAGGACTTTCCCCATTTTTTTTTGTCCTCACTAATGAGTAGGGAGGGGAAAAGGGAGATTGTGGCTTTTTGTCACTATCTGTAGTCTTATCTGTGTGACACTTGATGCTTAGTGCTAATAGACAGCTAGTCAAACAGATCCAGTGTTCATGCCTGAAATGATCCAGATGGGAGCTATGTAGAGAATGATTGCCAGCGGATGTGAGGCTTGGACCCAGGGCATTTTGTATGCCAGCCAAGACTCCATCACTGAGCTACACCCCCAACTCTTTTTTATTTTATTTTGAGATAGGGACTCACAAAGATCCTCCTGCCTCAGCCCCCTTAGTAACTGAAACATATATATTATTTACAGATATAATATGTGAGCATATATAATATATATTGCATATGAGTGTTTTCTGTAGTGGTACTTTCTCATTGGGACTGCCAGCCTGCACATAATGATACAGAGACTTAATTATAAAAGCTCAGTCTTAGCTTAGGTTTGTTTCTAACTAGTTATGACTTAAATTAACCCATATTTTTAAAAGCACATTCTTCCACGAGGCTCGTTATCTCGTCTCCACACTGCCTATCCTTTTTCCTCTGCATCTGGCTGGCAACCCTGCCTTTCTTCTCCCCAGAGTCCTCTCTGCCTGGAAGTCTTGCCTATCCTCTCCTGCCTAGCTATTGACTGTTCAGCTCTTTATTACACCAGTCACAGCGATACATCTTCACACACTGCACAGATATCTCACGACAGTTTTCCTTTATGTATGTAAACCACATGTTCTTGGTTCCTCAGAAGCCAGAAAAGGATATCAAATTCCCTGCCAATTGAGTTCTTATAGATCCTTGTAAACCCCTCTGTGGGTGCTGGGAATTGAACCCTGGTTGTCTAGGAGAATAGTATGTACCCTTAACCACTGAGCAATCTCTCCAACCCGAGGGTATTTTAAATGTAAATCATTAATCAGAAGTTTCCTATTTTATATAAGTATCCAGCAAGAGGATCTCTCTGGGTGCAGGAGCTGCTGAAAGCAAATAGGAACTGAAGAGTTGTTTTGTCAACTCTGGGTGGGGAGAACAGTCTACTGGAAGGAACAGTGGTGTTGAGCCGGGCGTTGGTGGCGCACGACTTTAATCCCAGCACTCAGGAGGCAGAGGCAGGTGGACCTCTGTGAGTTCAAGGCCAGCCTGGTCTACAAAGTGAGTTCCAGGACAGGTAGGGCTGTTACACAGAGAAACCCTGTCTCAAAACAAAACAAAAAATATTCTAAGGTTGTTGACAGTGGTAGGATCAGAGAGCCTGTGCCTTGGGCAGTCCTAATAAGCCAGGTTTGGCCTCTTGTCTTCAATAAGCCAATTAGAAGAACTGAATGAATAGTGAAAAGTAGGGGCTTAGTTGGTAAAGGCTCTTGCTGCCTAATAACCTGAGTTTGATCCCAGGTCCCACGCGGTGGAAGGAGAGAACAAATTTTTGAAAGTTTCCTTCTGGCTACCAGAGTATGTAATAAATGTAATAAAATTAAAATAATAATAATGAAAAGCAGAAAGAAACAACAGCAACAACAGAGATTTATTCATGTGGCCACATTAGGTCTAGCAACAAAGTGATTTGGTTATGCTCCTAAGTCCATCTTCAGAGCCCTAAGTTAAGGGTAAAGTTGAAATAGAGAGCCAGAGTTCTGCATAGCTAAGCAGTCTACGTAGGTCACCTTGTGCTCCTGCCCATTATTGACCCATCGTTGTTTGGGCCTTAGCTTCATCTTGCAAGGTTGTTGGACAAGTTGTTAGAACTCTTTTCCTGCATTCAAGTTCCTGGCTGGCTGGCTGGCTTCAAGCATCAGTGTTTTTCTCCTCCCAGCTTGAGATTCCTAGGGGAAATTTCAGTTCCTTGGGTCCATTGTTTCAATTATGTAACAGACAATGAGATAAAATACATAAAGCATCTCTTTAGAACAGTGTTTCTCAACCTGTGGGTCAAACAACCCTTTCAGATAGGTCACCTAAGACTATAGGAAAACAGAGACATTTGCCTTATGATTCATAACAGTAGCAAAATTACAGTTATGAAGTAGCATCAAAAATAATCTTGTGGCAGGAGGTCACTACAACATGATGAACTGTATTAAAAAGTCGCAGCATTCGGAAGGTTGAGAACCACTGCTGTAGAATATTCTATCTTTTCAGGGATGCCCAGGTTACAGAGTTGCTTATCTAACATGGACAAACTCTGTTACCTACATTTCCCTTCCCTACATGAAGCCCCTCCCTAGCCTTTTTGCTGTGGTTGGTTTGGGATTGTGTAAGGTTCTGCTAAGTCTTCTGAGAGCTGGGCATGATGGCGCAGGCCTCTGGTATCAGCACATCAGCACATGGGTGACTGACATAGGAACCGCCCCGAAAATTCTAGGAAATAGCCTAGCGTGGTAGTACACACTTTTTTTTCTTCTCTTTTTTTTTTTTTTTTTTTTGGTTTTCCCGAGACAGAAGGTACACACTTTTAATCCCAGCACTCAGGAGATAGTCAGGTGGATCTGAATTTGGGGCCAGCCTGGTCTCCATACAGAATTCTAGGCCAGCCAGGGCTGCACAGTAAGATCTTGTCTCAAAAATAAATACAGTCATTTGAGGAACAGGGTTTCTTCTACCTTACCATCTTGGCACAGAATTTAGGAGCATGGTGTTACCTTTTTGCACCTTCATTCCCAAACCATATGATGGTTACTCTCTGATCCCTGGGGTGATCAGAGAGGAGGTATCCCCAAGGACAGGAGCAGCCTATGTTCTCAAAGTGTTCTGGGAAGGGTCAAGGTTTGGCGTCTGTAACTGACAGGATGCCTTTAACAAGGCAGGCTAAACATCCTGTTAGTAACCATAAGGATTGTTTTTGTTTATTGGTTTGTTTGTTTGTTTGTTTGTGAAGCTGGAGATCAACCCCAGAGTTTCACACATGCTCGGGAAACACTATGCCACCGAGCTACACCGCTAGCCCACTTTAGGGTAGTTTCAACATTTTTCTCTCCAGACCTCTCCCTTCTGTCTTTGGGCTTTGCATTACCTTTCCTTTCAAGTGTTTTATTCTGTTTTGTGTGTGGGTGTTTTACCTGTGTGTCTGTGCCAGAGAGAATAGTGGGTCCCCCAGAGTTACCGACAGTTGTGAGGGGCCATGTGGCTGCTGGGAATTGAACTGGGTCCTCTAGAAGAGCAGCCAGTGCTCTGAGGCATCTCTTCAAACCCCCTCTGACTTTTCTTCATTCCCTATGGTTTTCTGTTTCAGGGAAGCCAGTTTCACCCGGTGTCTTCCATCCCTGCCCAAGTCCTGGCAATCCCACTGGTCACAGCAAGGTAGAAGTAGAATGAGCTGCAGCCTTCGGTTTTCACACACTAAAGACAGATGAAACCGGAGCCAGAGTGGCCTCCGCACTCCTCACTTCCAGACTTTTCTTGTCCCTTTGACCTGTAACTCAATGACCTTATTGGCCAAGTCTCTCTTCTACCTATCAGAGCCACCTAGACAAGGTCCCTGAGGTCAAGTGAACACCTTTGTCCCCCTCAGCAGACTCTAACCTCAACATGGAACAACCTCAGGCAGAGCCCCCAGCACCTAGTAAGGCCAGTAGTGTAGAAACTGTTGAATCTGAAAAACATGAGGCCCTGTCCGGACCAGAAAAAAACCCGCAGGACAAACCTCGGGACAAAGGTGGTGCAGAGGCTGATGGGGCAGCTGGAGAACAGGAGCCAGAAGACCAAGCTTTGCCACCAGCTGAGGATGCAGATTCGGGAAATCTTGAGTGCCCTCCTCCTGAAGCTAGCTCAAGTACGTGTGGGACGTCACCTGAGACAGAGACAAGAGAGATGAGTTCTAAGCCACAGGAGCTTCCCCAGTCCCCCAGGACCCAACAGCCTGATCTGGATCTCTACTGTGTCAAGTGGATCCCCTGGAAGGGAGAACGGACCCCCATCATCACCCAGAGCACCAATGGCCCTTGTCCTCTCCTGGCCATCATGAACATCCTCTTTCTTCAGTGGAAGGTAAGAACGGAGCTCAGCCAGTGGACTGTGAGGCACTGGGCAATTAAGATGTCCATAGATTTGCCTCTCAAATGTGCTTGGTTTATTCACACCAACGGTCCTTACAATACCGTGCTATATAGAGGTTACTGCGGACTGGAGAGATGGCTCAGCAGTTAAGATCAGTGCATGCTCTTCCAAAGGCCCTGAGTTCAATTCCCAGCAACCACATGATGGCTTACAACCATCTGTAATGAGATCTGGCGTCCTCTTCTGGCCTGCAGGCATACATGCAGGCAGAATGCTGTATACATAAATAAAGAAAAAAGAAAAGGTTACTGCAGTCTCACGTACACAGCATCTTACCAAATGGGGAATGGTTGGTTGGGTCGATAATGGTGCAGGGTTCCACTGGGGACATCGCACATTGGGAGATTGGACCAGATGTGGCCCTCGAACATCTGTGGCAGGCCAGGAAGGTGGCTTTGTTGGAGGTCCCAGGAGGTCCTGAAGAGCATTGGCCAGCAGCTAGCACTGACAGGTGGGCACATGTGAACTGGGCCTTGGTGCCAAAAACTTGAGGGACTCTGAAGCCAGAGTTTGGGGGGGATTTGAGACAAGGTCTCTTACACTATAAGCCAGGCTGGGCTCACCCTCATGCTTCAGCTCCCTGAATACTGGAATTGCAGTCATGAGCCACCATGCCTAGCTTGGACCCCCCCCCCACTTTCCATGTGTTCCCCCCTTCACTGCTAGTAGTAAAAGCTCACATATGACCGCCCTTCTCCCTCCAGGTGAAGCTGCCCCCTCAGAAGGAAATGATCACATCAGATGAGCTCATGACACATCTTGGTAAGTGACTCTTTTGGGGGGCGGGGTGCTCATTGGAGCTCTGATGTGGCATTGAGGGTAAGGAAGAGCCCCGTGTCTTTTCAGTAAAGTTGGAGAGTAAAAAGCAAAGATCAAGGTGTCAGGCTCTTGGAGTCACAGCAGCAATTCTGCCTATGGTTACTCCACTCCCACCCCACCCCTGCTCCTGGTGCTGGGAATCAAACACACCAGCCTTGACTGTGCTGAGTATGCACTGTACCACCAAACCACAGCCCTGGCCTCTGTCCTTAGCTTTCACCTCTATAAACCTATTTATTCCCCTGAGAAACTGAAGTTCTGGATTAGAGTTTGAAAACCCGTGGTCCTGAGACATGTCCCTCATTCTCTAGAAGAGGAGGAAATCAAGCTTTTGGAACAATTGGCAGGGCAGAGTAGGGTAGGCTGATACGTTTCCTGTCTTACAGGAAACTGCCTCCTATCCATCAAGCCCCAGGAGAAGTCTGAGGGCCTTCAACTTAACTTTCAGCAGGTGAGGCAAGAGGGCAGTGGACATAGGGTCTGCAGGCTTGCAGGAGGACCCCGAACCTATTGAAAAGCCTTTTCGGGTGATTCCTTAACCTTGGTATCTTCTGGGGGTGGGGGTTGGCATCTCTCTGTCCTGAAAAAAATTAGATAAAGAGGGATCCAGGCAGCCCAGCATAGTATTGTACACTTTTAATCCCAGCACTTGGGAGGCAGAGGAAGGCAGATCTCTGTGAGTTCAAGGCCAGTCTGGTCTACATAGGACAGCCAGAGCTATATAGTGAGACCTTGTCTTGGGGGAAAAAAAGAGGGGATTGAAATAAATGGGTTACAAGAAAGCCAGTGATGAAAAGAGGTTTTCTGATTTGTGTCTGGATGGTGGGAACGAGAAGTGGGAAGGTAAGACTAGCTATCCGTCTCTTTTCTCCCACCAGAATGTGGATGATGCAATGACAGTACTCCCTAAACTGGCCACAGGTCTGGATGTCAATGTGCGATTCACAGGCGTCTCTGACTTTGAGTACACACCCGAATGCAGTATCTTTGACTTGCTGGGCATACCTCTGTACCATGGCTGGCTTGTTGATCCACAGGTGAGGACGGGAGGCCCTGTGACTCTCCACTAGCTCAGGCTGGTGAAGGGAAACTTAAGGCAGGGGGCATCTAGGGAGGGGTGTGATTAGTCTGAGGAGAGACAAGATTTAGAGCCTGAACTGATGCAGAGTTCCTTGCATTTTAATACTGTTGGGTGGAGTCACATCCCAGTACACGGAAACCACACACAAATAGGATCAGGTCTTTGGACATCAAAAGTTCAGGAATCTTTGATCATAAGAGTCACAGTCCAATGGACTTGGTTCATTTCCTTCCTTAAAAAAAAAATCAGTTTGTTTTTGCCCCACCCCATCCTTCTCCCCAGAGTCCTGAGGCTGTGAGTGCTGTTGGGAAACTGAGTTACAACCAGCTGGTAGAGAAAATCATCACCTGTAAACACTCCAGTGACCTCAACCTCGTGACAGAAGGTGACGGTGATGCCCTCTTTCCTTGTGGATGAGTAGTCTTATTATTGTTTTTGTAATACACAGAGGGGACTTTTCTTTTTTCTGATACAGGACCTCATGTTGTTCAGGCTGGCCTTGACATCATTACATAGCCCAGGCCAGTCTCTTCCTGCTCGACTTTTTTTTTTTTTTTTTTAAGATTTTGTTTATTTTGTATATAACATTCTGCTTCCATGTATATCTGCACACCAAAAGAGGGTACCAGAGCTCATAACGGATGGTTGTGAGCCACCATGTGGTTGCTGGGAATTGAACTCAGGACCTCTGGAAGAGCCGTCAGTGCTCTTAACCTCTGAGCCATCTCTCCAGCCCCCCTCTGCTCCACCTTCTTAGAGCTCAGATTGCAGATGTGCACTCGCACGTCTAGCTGTATTGAGTGAGTGAGAAAATACAGTCAGGCTTTAAGGAAGGGTTCTTATCCCAACCCTGAGGACAGGGGAGCAATTAGATCTCGTATAGCTTAAGCTGGCTTTGTAGCTGACCCTCCTGCCTCCAGCCCCTAAGTACCAGGATCACAAGCATTACCAAGCTTCAACTTGTTTGTGCATGCCTTGCTGGGAATCAGACCTGGGGCCTTGTACATGTTAAGTATAGAGTCTAAGTCTGAACCATACCCCAGGTTCAGGGGGTTGGGCTTTGCAAAAATGGGGCTCTGGAGGCTCCTGGGGCTTTCTGAACAAACCTTATCTTGTTTTGTTTTGGAGCTGAGATGGGGGTTGTGGGGTTTTAGTTGTTTTGACACAGCGTCTCTATGTAGCTAGCCCTTGGCTAACCTGGAACTGCTGTGTGGATCATGTTGCCCTCAGACTCACAGAGATCAGCCTGCCTCTGCCTCCCCAGGAGACCAGATGCGTGAGCCGCCATACCCAGGACTGAACTCAGGATCGTTGCGTTCTTGCCACAACATCTAAAATTGAGAGTACTCCAGCCCTTTATTTGTTTTGCATTTTCCTATCAAGGGTTTGGATTTAATCCAAGGCTCACTTGTTTTCTGCCTTCTGGCAGGCTTGATTGCAGAGCAGTTCCTGGAGACCACTGCAGCGCAGCTGACCTACCATGGCCTGTGTGAGCTTACAGCAACTGCTAAGGAAGATGAACTCAGTGTCTTTTTTCGAAACAACCACTTTAGCACGATGACTAAGCACAAGGTGATGGGGCTTTTGGAGGAGGCGAGCAGGAACAATGTCATTTCCCTGAGCCTTTTTCTCTGGGGTCAGTGTGTCAGGCAGGATAGAGTGGGTTACGCCATGGTAACAGATAACCCCTAAAATCCTTGTGGTTTACCACAAGTGTCTGTTTCTAATTCATGATGTATGTCCAGTGCCAACTGGCTACATCCTGTCTCACTCGTCTTTATCTGGGACTCGGGTTGGCAAAAAAGCCTTTATATATGCAGGAGTATATGCAAGAAGAGAGAAAGATACAGTGCATTTTTTCTCAATGCTTCTGCCTGGGAATGACACTGGCCAGAGCAGGTCATGCGGAATAAGCTGCTATCATGGGACAGGAAAGGGACAGTGGGGCTTTAGAACACACAGTAATCTTTCAGAGTTAGAAGCCAAAGCTCTCTAGGAATTGAGTAGAAGAGGCTGGTCCTGCCTGACTCCACTTCCCACCCAGACTCTCATTGCAGCCCTGGCTGGCCTGGAACTCTGCGTGCTGGGAATAAAGGTGTGCTCTGTCACACCTGGCCTTGCCTTGAACTTCTGATCTTCCCGCCTCTACCTCCCAGGGGCTTAGATTGTAGCCATGCATCACCACACCCAGTTTTTCTGCTTCTCAAAAGGGTTTATCTCTATAGACATCAGCAAACAGAGAAGCAGGAAGGAAGAGAACAGGGAAGAGGGGAGGAAACTGGATTTGGTATGGTACTCTAACCCCAAGGAGTCCTTAACCAGGATGATCACAAAACACCTGTGTTCAGGCGTCCTTCCCTGGTTCCCACAGCCACACATATTTAAGAAATTTTGGGTGCTCACAGTGCTAAGTTCCCGTCAGCACACTGATTCAGAAGGTCTCTTGACTGCACCTTGGCTGTAAACTGCCTCTGTATCACCTGTCCCATCAATTTTTGGTCTTTTTCGGCTTGTGGGAGGAGTGTGTAAGGGCGTGTGCTAGGGATCAAATTCAGGGAACTTGGACTTGCCAGGCTACTGAAAGACGAGTACACTAGCCCTGAATGTCTTTCTCTTTTGCAGAGTCACTTGTACCTCCTGGTCACGGACCAGGGTTTTCTACAGGAGGAGCAGGTGGTGTGGGAGAGCCTGCACAATGTGGATGGCGACAGTTGCTTTTGTGACTCTGACTTTCACCTAAGTCATTCCCTAGGCAAAAGCCATGGGGCGGAAGGTGGAGGCGGCTCTCCAGAGAAGCAGCTGCAGGTGGACCAGGTGTGTGGGGCCTCTCAGAACGGTGCAGAATCCACTGGCACCTGAGCTGTTTCCTATACGTGAACTTCATGCATTTTATTGGCTGAAGGCTGCCCCACGTCCACGCCTCTTCATGTTACCTTAGGCCATGGCCTTGCTTGGGGTGTATTTCCCGGAACCACAGATAATAGACTTAACTGTGTTTTACTAGCGGGAGAAGAGAATTTGAAGGAAACATGCTTTAGAAATTTAGCTCATCTTGTGACTTGTTTTCTCTCTAGGACTATCTTATTGCCTTGTCCCTGCAGCAGCAGCAGCCACAAGGCACGCTGGGCCTTAGCGACCTGGAACTGGCCCAGCAACTTCAACAAGAGGAGTATCAACAGCAGCAGGCAGTTCAACCTGGGCATACAAGGGCCCCTTCTCCCCAGGTGAGCCTGCCCCTCCGTGCAGGATGTGTATGGTTTCTGTACCGGTCTCTGCAAGCCTTTCCTCATAACCCTTCTGAGGTACCTGACACCCGATGTCCTTGACAACCTACTAATAAGGTTATCGGATAACTCTTTGCTAAATTCCACACAGGGGAGAGGAACCACATCTGGACGCCCAGCTGGTGATCGGCGGCAGAGGTCGAAGCCCGAGTCAGACTGTGTTTTACTCTAGCTCTGCCCCACGCAGCGTGGGCCCACCCCGTATTTCAGAGGCTGTGACTGGTTTGCTTGCAGGATCCCCCACCTCAACCCCTGAGGCATACAGGGTAACTTATATGCACTGCCGGGGGCCAGAGCAGGCAACAAGGTCGAACTCAGCACGGTCCTTGCCCTACTGTGTTGCTGTCCTTCTCTTCGAGCCAGGGCCACATGGGGATGTGGGGCTGGGTGGTCTCTGGTTCCCAACCCCCTTTCCTGGAATATTCGCATGAATATACAGACCCAGGCTGATAGGTGAGGTACCTAACTGGAATGAATCTGTGTCCCTGCCTGCCCGGTTGCCCCTGGCCACCCGGCAGGCCCTTCTCCGTTTGTTTTAGGGTTTGATTTGGGTTTCTGTCTTTATTATTTTTAATGCCTTCCTTGGGGGTTGGTAATAAAACTTCTTTCCTGAGATATGTTGTTTTCCTACCCTGGAGCAGTGGGGTTAAATATTTGACCCAGTTGAGGAATGTGAAGGGTGGGAGGGTGCTGGCAGTCCGGGAGGTGAGAAGTTGCCTGTCATTTCTCACAGAGCCAGCAGGGGGAGCACGAACGTTGCCTCTTCCCTGGTTTTGGTAGATGTTCTGTGGGAAGCACTGCTGCTCTCAACCCTCGCTGGAGGTGTTTCTGAATCCCTGCATGGACAGATGAACTAGGAGAATGTTACTGAGACTTCCAAGGCTGGGAGTTCATGGAGATGGCCCTTTGCGAGTTCTCATCCCCTGGTGCCGATCCTTAACTGTCTTGCCTGAGATTTCCTGGGGAGGAGAGAGTGATAAGGTTGAAGGGAGACTCCCGGGTGGGGTGTGTTGATAACGGGTAAGTGCAGTGCAGTGCTGGGGCAAAAAACAGGGTTCCTGGTGAATAGTTAAGTGTACTTCAAAGATGCCTCCAACTCCAACGCCTCTTCCTGGCCCATGTCCTGAGCCGCCCAAATTTTAGCCAGGAAACAAAAAGACAGTGAATTTTCCAAAAGGTTCACTACCATGGAGATGTTGTAGCCATGGTATGGATTGATGAGCAAGGCAGACACTATCAAAGGCATCCTAGTACTCCTCCCCAAAATGACATAGAAGACATCACTTGGAGATGAGGGAAATACAGGGATATCAAAGAAATTTAGAGGTCCTGCCTCAAGAAGAAGTTAGGGTATGTGGTGTTCCTATGGGAATCTCAAATTCTTGGATGTCATATCAAGGTGTGGCCGAAGTGTCTCAGATGTCTTCAGCTCTGCACAGGGCCAGTAGTGCTGAGTGACAATCCCCTCTCATTGCGTCCTGCAGGCGAGGGAATCAGTGATAGTTAGAAAATCTCATTGCCACCACCGTGGTCCAAGCATTCTAACAGCTCATCATCAAGGAAAGACTCCTCTCTGTTACCAAGTTCGTGCTCAGCCAAAGGAAAGGTGGGGGTAGGGAGAGCTAGGATGTCAGGGCTCCAGGTGAAGAAATACCCAAGTTTAGTCTGGTGGTAGTGGTGCATCCAGCACTTGGGAAGCAGAGGTGGGTGGATCTCTAAGTTCGAGGCCACTCTGGTCTATAGAATGAGTTCTAGGACAGCCAGGGCTACACAGAGAAACCCTGTCTTGAAAGAGAGAGAGTTTCACCTGGAGTGAAGAATACAGAGACTTCCCAAATTTCCTCTTGAATTCAGCCCGAATGCTTAGAAGATCAGTCTCGCTTCGGGAGATAAGGATCCGCATCAGCACTTGGAAATTGGGCTCAGTTTCCTGTAAGGAAACAGATGGGGACTGTGTGGCAGGTTGTTAGGGGATATTCTCATTGAGGGCATCGGGAGAATGCCATGGGTGGGTAGGAAGCAGAGGCAAGGTAGAGTTAAGGGGAAGCAATAATTTCAGAGCCAGAGTCACTGTCTACACTCACAAAAAGATAACAAGTAAATATTTTTTTCTGGGGAATCAAACCCAGGGCCTTGAACATGCTAGTTATCACTAAGCTATATCCTGGATCTCAGCTGGCCTCAAGTTCAGAATGCTGGCACTAAGGGTACTAGCCACCATGCCCAGCCCATGTGTGTACATCTGTGTGAGTATATGCCACCTGTTGCAGATGCCTGTGGAGGTCAGAAGAGGGTCTTACATCCCCTGGAGCAGTTTCAAACTGCTGGACATGGGTGGCAGGAACCAAACTCGGGTCCTCTGGAAGAGCAAGAAACTCTTAACCACTGAGCCATCTCTCCAGCTCCATGTTTTCGTTTTTGACACAGTGACTCATGTACCCTAGACTGACCTTAGACTCACAGAGATCTGCTTGCCTCTCTGCCGCTCAACTGTTTGGATCTAAGGTGTGGGCCACCATGCTTCACAAGCCCTGAACTCTTGATCCTCTTGTTTCTACTTCTCAGGTTCTGGGACTACAAGTGTGTGTCTCTTTTTAGACAGGGTTTTTCTGTTCAGGTTTGTCCAGCCCTAGCTACCCTGGAACTCGATCTGTAGACCAGGCTGGCCTTGAACTCACAGAGATATGCCTGCCTCTGCCTCCGAGTGCTGGGATTAAAGGTGGGCACCACTACCACCCAGCTGCAAGTATATGTCTCTTGGCTTGCCTGACTCCTAGAATTCCGGTCTCAGAGTCCCAATACGCTAAGATGTGTATTTTTCCTTTTTATGTGTGTGCTCATAGGCTAAGCAAGTGCTTTACCACTGAGCCACTCCTAGCTCACAGATTTGTTTTTTTTATATCAGGAACTCAGACAGATAACCACAGGTCTTCACATGAATCCTGGTGTTGACTCATTATAATGAGCCAGGCTTTCTCAGTTAAGTATAATAATAATCTGTTGTCAAGATGGAAATCTCTGGATGATGGAGCAAGGGTGTGTATATAGATTGTCCTGTCATCAATTGGACATGATGCTGAAGGCTTCTCTGCCTACCAAAATGCGATAACTCCAACCTTTTATATATTACCTTTTGTTATTATTTATTTTTTTTGGCTCAGGGTTTCTCTGGGTAGCCTTAGCTGTCCTGGCACTTGATCTGTAGACCAGGCTGGTCTCCAATTCAGAGGTCTGCCAGCCTCTGCCTCCCCAGTGGATTAAAGACATGTGCCACCACTGCCTGGCTATTTCACTTCCTTTAAACACATATATATGTTCTTTCTTTTTTACATATAATTTATAAAGGTGTTGGGTCCCCTGAAACTAGAGTTACAGTTGTGAGATGCCATGTGGGTGCTGGGAATTGAACCCTGGTCCTCTGGAAGAGCAGCCACTGCTCTTAACCACTGAGCCAACTCTCCAGCCCCATATATATGTTCTCAGAGGAGACCTGATTCATCTGGCAGAATTACTAGATTCTGTTGGTGTAATTACTCAAACCAAAGTGACCACTTTGTAGATACAGCAGGCACATTTTGGTTTTCTTTTTTGAAACAGGATCTCACAGTGTAGCCCAGGCTGTCCTGGAACTCCCTCTATAGACCCAGCTGGTCCCAAACAGAGATCTGCTTGCTTCTGCCTCCTGTGTGCTAGGATTAAAGGAGTGCACCAACGTGCCTGGCTCACCAGACATCTTTTAGAGTGGTACAAAGATGGCAGTTGGGGGCTGGAGAGATAGCTCAGAGGTTAAGAGCATTGGCTTCTCTTCCAGAGGACCTGGGTTCAATTCCCAGCACCCATTGGCAGCTCATAACTGTCTGTTCCAGGGGATCTGACACCTTCAACCAATATACGTAAAAATGAAGTTAAATAAGATACATAAAAAGTATGAAATAAGCAGAAAAACTAGACAATTTTTTTTTTAAAAAAAGATGGCAATTGAGGACTTGGACATATGCAGCAAGGGTTCTACCATCAAACTCTCCCTCTAGCTTGAGGATAAATAGCAGGAATAAAATCTAGCCAAGGTGGCTGGGCATGATGGTGCACGCCTTTAATCCCAGCACTTGGGGAAGGCAGAGACAGGCAGATCTCTTGAGTTAGAGGCCAGCCTGGTCTACATAGTTTCAGGAATGCCAGGGCTACATAGAGAAACCTTGTCCTGAAAAACCAAATAAATAAATCCAGCCAATGTGGTGAAAGGCCCAGGGTGCTTGGGACGTTTACCATCTCCTTGCTCTTCATGTTTTTCATTTAACTAAACAAGGACAGTACACAATTATGAAGGTTAACTGAAATGTGAGAAATATGCTGGAGACAGCTCCAAAGTACAGGAGTCCTGGTTGACCTCCTGCTTCTGCCTCCTAAGTCTTGGGATTAAGGTTTTCACCACCGTGCCCACCCATTACTCTTTATACAGCAATGGCTCTCAGCCTGTGGGTTTACGACCCCTTTGGGGATCTAAGGCCCCTTTCATAGGGGTCGAATATCAGATATTTACATTATGATTCATAATAGTTATGAAGTAGCAATGATACAATTTTATGGTTGGGGTCACCATGACATGAGGAACTGTATTAAAGGGGGTTGCAGCATTGAAGAAGGTGAGAACCACTGTGACAAAGTTACCACCTTCCCCTCTGACAAAAAAACTGGACAAGGGGCTGGAGAGATGGCTCAGGGGTTAAGTGCACTGACTGCTCTTCCAGAGGTTCTGAGTTCAATTCCCAGCAACCACATGGTAGCTCACAACCATCTCTAATATAATCTGGTGCCCTCTTCTGGCATTCATTGTATACATGATAAATAAATAAATAAATCTTTAAAAAAAAAAAAACTGGACAAAGCAAACTCCTCTGCTTTCGGTACATACACATTAAGACAAACTTAAACTTTAGTGCCTTGTGGGTAACTAACTTAGTTCTAAGCAGAGCTCACTCCTCTACCCATGACAGGACAGTTTGTAAATACGGGGAAGACTTGTAGGTCCACCAGGCTTGGATCTGAAGGGCGGGACAGGAAACAGTGTGCCTCTTACCTGAAGGGCTTGGTGAAGTTTGTTGGCAAAGTACAGTGCTGTGTTTCTCATTATGGACACTAGAAGCAAAAACAACAACAACAAATGGTTAGAGAGCTAGTCTAGGGCTACAGCTTCCCATCCCAGTAAAACCCCTCCATACATCCTGAGTAGGTACCTACCTAGGCTGAGCAGAGCCCGCTGAACATCTCCATGGAAACAGTTCTGGACAGCATCCTCCAATTCTTGCCCAGTGCATCTCCGATACTGATCAAACACTTTTGGTATGTGTAGGGAGTGGTTAGAAAGGTAAGTTGGTGTGTGGGGCTGTTACTCACCACAGAGAAGAGTGGCCCTCCCCACATTGGCTGCCACACTCATCGGTAAAGCTAGCTGGGTGGGGATAAGGAAGCTTGGGTACCTCGGATGAGGTGTTCAGGACTGCGTTGTGTAAAGATCAGGACCCATTGACCTGCCATACTGGATCCTCCGGTCTGCTGAAGTACCTAGGGAAGAGGAGGGAATCGGTGAGGAGATGAGTAGCATTGTTTGGAGCCTGGAAGCCATGGTTATAATGTCCCCAAAAATCTACTGTGGTGACAGAAACGGGACTGAGGGTAAAAAGGGATAGTTTATTCTGTGCACTTGGGAGGTAGAGGCAGGCCTGGTCTACATAATGAGCCAGAGAAAGACCCTGACTCAAATATAATAATAATAATAATAATAATAATAATAATAATAATAATAATAATAATAATAATAATAATAATAATAATAATAATAATAATAATAATAATAATAATAATAATAATAATAATAATAATAATAATAATAATAATAATAATAATAATAATAATAATAATAATAATAATAATAATAATAATAATAA